TTAGAGTATTTCTATAATGAAGTCTCCTACTTGGCCAAAAGACTAATAATATTCATATTCATTAATTTATTATTAATATTAATGCATTCAGTCAATATATATGAATCTTTCCCCTCATGGGAGGTTATTGCAATAACATAAAATATGATGGTGGCTTGGACTAGACTAGGGCTAGAAGATAAAGGTTATGGGCTGGATTTGGAGTATGGAAGATTATGACATATTTAGCAGTGGTCATTCAAATATATTAAATTTACATTTAAAAAAATTGAATGAGTAGAAAAATGCAGCTTTAACATGAATAAATATGTATTATTTATAATGCTGAGCCTATAAAAATTGGAAAATGCTTCCAAAATGCGAAATTCTAACATTAAAAACATTAAAACACACAACCTTAGATATACTACAGTTTAATTTTTTCTAGATTTCTTCAGTTTTGTATTTTTGTTTATGCAAAAAAGGTACCCTAACTCTTCTGTATGAAATTTAAACGCACGGTAGTAGAAAAGGTGAAACTGCCTTGGATATTGAAGGAATTACATTTCTAAAGTTGTCATAGACTCACGTCTGTATTTTAGAACATAGGTTACATTCTTTTCAATGTGATTTTTCTCATTTCTTTGTTTACTGATAACATAGACATTTTGAAAGAAACCTGTTTGCTTCTCTAATATCTTAGTACTTGTATAATATTCTTCAACTCTCTTTCCTTGTTTATTTTCATTTCCTCTCCATATCTCACCATTTTTAGTCCAGTAAACTATTATACTTCTCTTGCAGTCCTTATTGCTTAAATTTTCATCATGTACATTTGTTTACTTTCCCTTTAAGGAAGCACGCCAGGGCAAAGATATGAAGACATTGGTGAATTGGCAAAAGCTGGCAAGATGCAAAGATTACAACATGAAAACTCACATAATTTTTTTGCAGGACATTTTGTCCTTCCAAAATGTCCATGGTCCATTTGATCCTTGCCAAAAGATCCTTGATATTTGGTCCTGTTCAAAACAACCATGGAGACATTCGGTCCATAGTTCATATAAATCCCACTCTTCTGCAAGATCCAAACTCCAACCTATTTACTTAAACTCATGTGCCATAACCAGATAGGCTGACAAGGAAGGGAGGGTTATTATTGGCAATACAGACACAACACAATTATTGGATCGATAAAACATGCTAGTATTTTTATGGGTTAATCCAATCAACTAAAAGTATAAATAAACTTTTAGGCTATTTGAACCTAGTATATTTTCTAAGTATGGATGTTTTTGACAGGACCAAATGCCAAGAACCATTTGGCATGGGCAAAATATGTTCATGGATGTTTATGACAGGACCTATTATCACGGAGGTAACGTTATTCTATTGATAAATAAAGAACTGAGTCACAGAGAGGTTTGACAAAAGTCATTATTTTTATAAGTGATATGACTGGGATGAATTCAGAGAGCCTGGGGTCAGAATCTCTGCACTTAATCACTGTGCAGCAGAGGACTGTGATCATTGCATTAGTCCTATTGCATTACAATCATTTGTTTATTGTCTTTCTCTTCTATCAGTTTCTTGAGGACAATAAACTCATTTTTGTGCAAATAAGTGCCTATCATAGTAGTTACTTCCCAAACAGTATAATATAATAGTTTGCTGAACAAAATTACATTTTAAACAACTGTTAATTATCTCTTGTCTTTTGTGCAATTCGTGATAAATGTACTCAATTTTTGAAGGGTTAAAGGAAGGAATTAAAAGTAAGAAGAAAGAAGGAAGGAGAGAAGAAAGACTAATTCCACTGTATTGGGGAAATATAATCTCCCAATTCAGAAATCATCTCCTCAATGATAGTAGAGAAAGAAAACACATTTATTATTGAATAAGCATTAAACCAAAATGTGATGCCCATCACAGGCAATCCAATAAGAGATTATAAAGACAAAAAAGTCATCCTTTTATATAGCCAGGCTGCTACAATCCATACATACATGTTTTCAAGATGGGCAAATAGTTCTTCAGTAAAGATTTGATACCACCATTTATCACACATGGTATGTCCTAACGTCCTTAGGTAATTGAATTATGTTAGCTAATTAGCTTTATTTAGAGAAAACATACATTTTTCATATCTTTATGACAAGAAGTAGTTTTGCAACTTGGAGCAAGGCATCCACCAAAGTTAGGCTCCTACCCTCCCGCAGAAACTGGGAGACCGGGGCACTATGTCCCTTGATGTTTTTATATCTCAGAGATGGCACCAAGGTTCTCGAGAAAGACATACTAGGTCATAAAACTGACAAAATGCCAATCTAGTTTTCAGCAGTATTAATGTATACTTCAAAAAGAAGAGAAAGCACTTAACTAAAATGAGTGCTCAAAGAAGAAAGCGGGGAGGGAAATCTCCTGGCTTATTTCCGACAGGGATAATTAAGCCTCTCATTTTTTAATTTTAATTTGTATTTGTCCTTACAAGTAGAGTGACTTAAAAAATAAAAAAAAATAATACCAATAAATAAATAAATAAATAAATAAATAAATAATAGCAGATCAGAGGAAATGTGGTATGTTGGGAAGAACACTGAAATGTTCTAGGACCAGATTTGTTATTTAAAATTCTTTTCCTTGGAAAAAGCATTTAACTTCTGTGGGATTCCACTTTGCGTCTGTAATGTAAGTGAGTTGCACTGAATAATCTCTATGGCCACTTTTGAATATATTCTTCTATTTCAAAATAATGAAAAATTTGAGGGTTTAGTGTAGATGACAGGTGTTATTTTTTACATCTACACTTGTTTGGACTTTAATTACTGTGATCTCTCTAATACATAATCGATGACTGTCATTGAACACCTACAGATCTCTAAATCACAAGAAAATTAGAATCACTTTGTCTCTATTATACACCTAACACATATATTTAAAAAGTTTTGTGAACCTGAGTAAGTATGTATTGAAAGAAAGGACAACTCGCTTTCATATTATGAAATACTTTAACAATGAATAATGGACAACGAAGGAAGCTCTTTCTGATTACTTTTCTTGTTTTTTTGGGGAGGTGGTAGTAGGGGGTTTGTTTGTTTGTTTTCTGTAGAGACTAATTCTAGATTCGTGGCCTTGTATGGACTGCCATTTTCAGAGTCATGAGAACTTACAAATATTTCTCTGCACTATGAACATGTTTAAGGGGTGATGAAACTTTTTCCCCCCTTCCGTTCCTCAATAAAGAAAATTCTGTAGGAACAATGAATACTAAAAACGATAAAATACTTTTTTTAAAAAAATTTTAGAACAGTCTTCTTACGCTGTCTTCTTTGTAGATAAAATCTCGATAGCCAATATAAGTGAAAACCTTTAAGGTCTCTGCTAAATAAATGTTTGAAGGAAAAAAGAAAACACTATTATTTATAAGATAAATCTCTGAGAAAAATAATATAATTGACTGCCTGTGCTCCCTAGTGTTTGAGAGGTTTTGCTTCTGAGCTTAATTCCCCAAATTGTAGGACAAATCCTAAAGAAGTAATGTACACAAAACTATGTAAATAGTAAATCTATACACTCTTTGGGAGCTAATACATTGTGCAAGGTTTGTGTCAGTGTTTTTGAGTGTTTTGGTGCTACAAACTCCATAAGGCAAATTCAGAGCAAAGGTTATTCCACCTATAGAACACTCTGAAAATGCAGACAAATATTTTAAATATTTGGTCCCATAAGGAATGATAGTAATGATTAAAAAATAGAATTTTTCTTTCAAAGCTATCTTAAACCCTTTCCCCAAAAATAACCACAATGGTTTCATTGCATTTTTAATGAATAGTGATGACAATTTTAGCTTTGTTTTTCATTGAATACAACCAAGCTCTTCTGCTTTTATATGAGCCATACTGAACAAAGTTGCATCATGCCATATTTTTTCTATACGTATGCTCTTATTACATGTATTGCTATTTTTATCTGCCTTCCTTAACACTCTAACCTCAATTTTGGCCTCCTTGCCACCATTCTACTCCAATCTCAAAGGCTTCCTGGAGACTACTGAGTAGGCTCTTGTTTTAGGGACACAATTCACCAGATGACTCTGCATGTATAACACCTCTAACTCTGATATCTTTGTCAACTATCATGTTCTCAATGAGGCTTAATGATCAATTTATTAAAGTTACAAACACCTCTTCTGCTGCAAAGTAAGAATCATTATTTCATTTTATTGGTATAAATATGTATATATAAAATAAATTTTGCTATTTTAACCATTTTTAAGTGTGCAATTCAATGGCATTAATTACATTCATAAAATTGTACAACTATCGTTACTATTTCCAAAACTTTTCATCAGCCCAAACAGAAACTTTGTAAACACTGAGCAATTACTCCCCATTCCCTTCTCCCTCTAGGCCCCTGGAACTCTAATCTAATTTCTGAGTCAATCAATTTGCCTGTTCTAGATATTTATATATATGGAATCATATAATATTTGTCTTTTAGTGTTTGGCTTATTTCATTTAGCGTGTTTTCAAGGTTCATCCATGTTGTAGAATGTATCAGAACATCTCTCTTTATGGCTGAATAATATTGTATTGTATGAAATTTTTGTTTATGTATTGATCTGATGAACACTTGGGTTGTTTACATCTTTTGGCTATTTTGAAGAATGCTGACATGAACATTTTCAGTTATTTTGGGTATAAACTTAGAATTGAATAGAATTGAATAGAATTGTTGGGTCATATAGTAATTCTGTGTTTAGAAGAAATGCCAAATTGTTTTCCTCAGTGAATGTACCATTTTATATTTCTACCAGCAATTTGCAAGGTCCAGATTTTCTACATCCTTTCCTGCATTTCTTATTTCCTGTTTTTGTTTATTTTTAATGTTCTTTCTAGTAGATGTGAAATGGTATCTAATTGTAGTTTTGATTTGCATTTCTCACTGACTAATGATGTTGAGCACCTTTTCATTTACTTATTGTTCATTTGTATATATTCTTTAGATAAATGTTTATTAGTGCTCACTTCAGCAGCGCATATTTAAATTGGAACAATACAGAGAAGATTAGCATGGCCCCTGTGTAAGGATGACACACAAATTCGTGAAGCAGTTCATAAATAAATAAATAAATAAATAAATATTAAAGTTCTTTGCTCAATTTATGAACTAGTTTGTTTGTCTTTTATTGTTTAGTTGTAGAAGTTCTTTTCAAATTCAAGGTATGTGACTTGCAAGTATTTTTCCAATTCTGTTGGTTGTCTTTCACTTTCTTGATTTTTTTTTTTTGATGCTGCTTTAAATCAGGGTTTTCTAGAGACAAAACCAATAGGATATGTATGAATTTATCTGTCTATAGATGGATTAGATAGATAGAAAGATAGGTAGGTAGATAGATTCTATTAATCTATGTAAAAAAGGCTGTTGGGATTTTGGTAGGGATTGTTTTGAATCTGTAGATATTATCTATCATCTTAACCATTATTTTATTTTATATTATATTTTATTTATTTTATTTTATTTTATTCTATTTTATTTTATAACGCCTACAGCACCCAGTATTCCTAGGTGGTCTCCCATCCAAGTACGAACTAGGCCTGACCCTGCTTAGCTTCTGAGATCAGACGAAATCGGGCACATTCAGGGTGGCATGGCTGTAGACTTTACCATCATTTTAAAATACAAGATTTCCAAAGCCTCAAAAACGTGGATGTGAAAAAATAAAGTGGGGGGGTCGACTCAGGGAACAAAGGAAACCCATTTCACACCCCAAGTTTAGAGAATCCACTGTGCTTAAGAGAAGAAGCTATCATCTTCAGAGTGTTTAACAGGCATCTTCTAAAGGCTAGGGGGGGCCAAATAAAAAAAAGATTTATTTTATGAAATTGGATCATGCAATTGTGAGGCTAGTAAGTCTAGCAGCTAGACACTAAGGGAAAATTTACAGTTCCAGTCAAAAGTTATCTAACAGTCTGCAGGCAGAATTTCTGTGGAATTTCTTACTTTCTTTCTTTTTTTTCCATTAAGGTCTTCAATAAACTCTAGAAATTCCACCTACATCATGGGGGATAATCTTCTTTACTCAAAATCTACTAATTTAAATAAACTCATCTAAAAATTATCTTCATAGAAACAAATGGAGAAATAGTTGACCACATATTTATGTTCTGTGCATTGGCCAGGTTGACACATGAAATTAACCATCACAGGTGCACAAGTTTTTTTTTTTTCCAATTTGATCAATTCAGTGTATCCATTTTTTCGTTTGTCACTTGTGCTTTCGATGTCATATCGAAAATTCTGTTGCCCAATTCGAGGGGATGAATATTTACCTGTATGTTTTCTTTTTTTCTAAGAGTTCTATGATTTTAGCTCTTACATTTAGATTACTGATTCATTTTGAGTTAATGTTTATATACAGTGTGAGGTGAGGAATCCAGCTTCATTTTTTTTTTTTTTTTTGCATGGAAAAATCCAGTTTTCTCAGCACCATTTGTTAGAGACTAATTTTCTCTTATAAAAGGACTTTAAACCCCTTTATAAAAATCAATGGACCATAAGTGCAGAGGTTTATTTCTGAATACAGAGAGATGGAGGTCGGTAGAGAAAGAAGATGAGAGAGATAGATGCAGCTGGGGAGAAGGGAGAGATTAAAAAAGAGATTAAAATTGAGATTTATATTCAAACTATGAAAATGAAGAAGAGGTAGAAGTAGGTTTAAAACAATTATAGGGACATTGATTTTCTGTTGTGAATTCATTAAAATGGGATGAGGATGGTTTATGACCAAAATACTGAGACTTAAGCAAGTATATAATTCCCTACATCCCTGTGGCTAAAATACTTGATGTAGTAACTAGGGAGAAACTAAACACCATCTTGAAATAATATAGAATATATGGGAATAAATATTTAAAAAAATAATAGAGATTAAAAGTTAGAAAACATAAGCCTTAAAGATCTCCAAGGTAAAGTTTCTGAATAATTGCATGTCTAAAAATAAACAAGCAATTTCTGTATATGTGGGAGGAAATGATATATGACGTTTAGCTCCTCCTACTTCTTTTCAATATTTATTCAATTTTAAAATCTATGTAATAAGCTTTCATTTTTGAAAGATTGAAGCCTGTCCTGTTCATTTTTTCTCAGCACCTAACACAATTTCCTGTGCATAATAAGCACTTATGTATTGGTTGAGTTAATATGCCAAATATCTTGTTACTTTTCCTGTTACTCCCTATTTTTCTCCACCATCCTATCTGTCCCAGAAGACTAATCTGATGTATATCACTCAAAACATTTATATCCTTTGTCTTCTAGATGCCCACAGAGTTTGACCAACAGGGAGCCTTGGCAGGAGATTAGAGGGTGAGAACAGCATATTAATTCCACTGCCTGTCTTTTGGCCAGGTCATGAGCTTGGCATTGTTCCTCATCCAAAGGTCACAGCCATTTTAGGGGAAAAAAAAAAAAAAACAACAGCAAACAAACACAAACAACCCAGAACATCGATACCTATCTTTGGGGCTTGGTACTATCTTTTTTTAGTTTTACTATATCCTGCCACACATTTTTATATTGTACTTTTATAACTCTTTTAATATTGTTCTAATTTGCATGGGCATTGATAGATTATATTGGGGGCTCTGTTAGATAATCTAATGGCCATTTATAAGGCTGAATGATTTATAAAAATTAATATCCTATAAATAAGGAGCATTTAAATACTAGCTAAATACAGTTTGCCTTGTTAACATAAATTCTTCAGTTGATTTTCTCTTCCTTTCTATTAATTTATCTGATTAAAGAACAAAAAGATGGTAGGGAGTTCATGGTGTTTCTTTTCTCTCTAGACCTTTATAGAAGCTATCAAAATATAACATAAAAAAACCCCACAAAATTTTACTCTTTCCTCTTCACAACCAATAAATCTTTTTAAAAAGACAGCTTTAAAGAGAAGAAACTTCTTCACAGGTCACTGCATTTAAAGTATAACTTCCTCAAGGAAATTGCCTTTTTATTCTTTTAAATACTCTTCAAATGGTCTTGAACTGTAACCTGTAATAGTTTAACATTCTGAGGTTTGGTCTGTTAAAATGTGGTTGTATATCCTATTTTATGCTGGCAACAATTGCCTGTTGAATTTTTGAAAGATTTTTATTTTGCCATCTCTGCTTTTATAATATTTCTGTGGGATCTCCCCTCTTTATCCTTGATTGCAATCCTATGAATAACCTTTAGTTTCTCTTGTCACTTACCACTCTTAATGAATAATTTCACATACAGACAACAAAAGAATATGGTCCTATCCATGCTAAAACATTGATTTATTATCCAATTAAAACTCTTTTGCTCCCGAGCTCAGACATGATCTTTTGGAAATCTTTAGGGAGGAAGGAAATTAGAACATAGTTGACTTGTTCTCTCTCCTTTGCTATTGTCTGACATATTTGTTCTCCTGTTATTTGTTCTTCCAAGGTCAAGGCCCAGGGAATCTAAAACCATTCTCATTTTTAAGAAGAGTCCTAAGATTTATTGGAATGAGTGTATTTCTTATCTCTCACTTAAATCTCAGCTTCTACAAAGATTTGATCATGTTGTTTATCAACCCAATTCCTCTTTTCCCAATAGCACATCACTTGCTAGACTACAAACATCACTTTTGAATTCAAAGCATCACACATTAAGTTTTGGCATATAACTGATTTTAGGGAAAAGCTCTCATAGCAATGAACAAGGGCTAATGATATTGTCACCTGAACCTGCTTAGCCTTATTTCAAGGAAAGTAATTCAAAACAAGTTCACAGCATGAAAAACAGTTAAGTGACAAAGAGAATAAACTCCAATTCAAACACCAGTGAAATATCTTTTGTACTTGTGCAAGGCAGGCAGAGAAGAGTTACAGATATTTCCTTTAGAACACTTTAATTCCTACAGGCATGGAGACAGCACAGTGTTTTGTTTAAGAAGACAGACTCAAGAGCTAGAGGTCTTCACCTCTAAGCAGCTGTGTGACCCAGCTTTGTAACTTCACCTCCCTCTGTTCAATTTCTATAACTGAAATTGGTGATTGGTAATACCTATCACATAGTATTGCTAGGAGATTTAAATGAACTTATGTGCAAGGTCTTTGAAACAGTGTCTGCGTATGAGTTTTAATTTAAAAATGTATAGGGAGATTTGGATGACATCAGGTCATATAGCTTGATTACAATGGAAAATTACTATCTTGAGCAATAGGATAGAGAAATATATAAATATAAAAATTTGGAGTCACGGAAGTATATCCTCACCCCAGGGCTACATTCTCTATGTAGTTCCTAACTGAGCAGTAAA